CAGATTTTTTAGAAAATGTGTCAATAATTAAGTTAGCGCCAAACGCCAGCATTAGCGTCTGGCGCTAGCGTTAGCGCCTGGCGCTAATGTCAGCGTCTGGCGTTAGCCTCATTATGCGAGTCAGAACTCTGTTTTAGATTTTTTTATCTTTTTGGCTGATTTTCTGCCTTCTAAAAACTCCGTTTTCAATCACCAATTCTCACCAACTCTTATCAAGAAATTCTTGATTCTCTCTCTCTTTCTATCCTAGCCTTTTACAAACACAATTCCTCATACATTAGCACTAGATACACCTAGCCATATTCGATGTTGCCTTCGCCCTAGACGTGAAAGGTTTTAATTTCTGAGGGTTTGGTCCCAAATCTTTATATCAATTATTTAATTTAATTCTTTGATTTTATAATTTTCCTTGAAGTTACTAACGTGTGTATTTTGTTATTAGAAAGAGATACGAGGAATCTAAGTAAGTGCTTTAAGTGTTTGCATTGATATTATGATATACAAATCATGTCTAGGTTGTTATTATGATTCCTAGTATCATGTTAGGATGTTTTTCTTAATTTGATGTTTAGGGTGACAACAATAAATTCCTAGTATCATGTTTAGTGTAAAGAATATAATGTCAATTATGATTTTTATGATGCTTCCTATTTTCTTTCCTAATATTCATGTTAGTATCATGTTAGGGCTATATATTTGATCTTTATTGTTTAGTGACATGCTAGGGTTTGTTATTAATCTTGTTAATATCATGCCTAGGATCTTGCTATTATTATTATGCTTTAACATGATGATTATGATTATTTTAATTATTATGATTATTATTATGTTGCTTGATATTTATTGTTATTGCTTGATCACACCTTTTATGCACGTTTAAAGGAAATTGGTACTTGTAATCACGCTTAATAAGATAATGAATAATCTTGTTTATGGTTAATTATGATTATAATTCAAATGATCGCCAATAATAGATTTATTTGTGCATTAATATTCAACCAACATACATAAACAGGTTTATGGTTAATCATATTGCTTGCATGTTAGTCAGAAAGCGCACATGAATACGATGAGAATAAAGTAGAGGCCTATTATTAGGGCAGGTTCAATCTCTTTTAGGTTGGATTTGTACCTTCATCCCCGAACCCTTATTTTGTTCAAGACCTTATGGAGTTGACGATCTCTTGGATCGTTAAGGGGTGTAACCTTCACCTCGTGAACGGTTTACAAGTTCCTAAAACTTGTTGGCGACTCTTTTGCCCTAGCTTTTTTCCCTTTAAACGCCACCGTTATTTAGTGTATGATCACAGTGGGGTTCAAGTTTGGGATAATGCTTGAAATATTCCCTACACCATGCATCCATCCAATGAGATGGTTATCATCCCACCATTAACTTTAACAGACCTAACTACGTCTGAATATCTCATTATTGTAACTACCCTCCTGAGAGCTCACGCTATTTAGAATCACTCTTTGAAGTCAAACCCTTGCTTGAAACACTTTTCTTATCATTATTCAAACAACTCAATTTATGAAGCCAACTTGCACACCTCTTTGAAAGAATTATAGGAACCCGATTCAACATTGTTTTTCATTTTACTTCTATCAAGTAATAAGTGTAAAAAAGCATTAAAATGTCCATCCGTACTCTCTCGTAATCTTGCAACTTTATCCGTAAGTTTTCTAATAGCTTACTCCATAATTGTATGAAAAAACAGACTTAAAAGACCCCAAAACATCCTGGTATAACCCCTTAAAATCGCAGCACAACTTGATCCAACATCACACACAAAGAACAAAAAGTATGAAATCGAACTAAATCTGACACAGTAGCGGAAAACAGTCCAGTTAAATAGCAAACAACCTCTAAAAATCTTGAAATTTTGTAGGTAGAAAGTAGACAGAATTTCACCCAAATTAAAAAAAAAATCACCAGAAAAGACCTCGAAGAGAAGGAGAGCTAACCTTCTGAAGTTGACCGAACAAACTGATCTTCCGAGAACAAGTGCGATTTGTAGAACGATCAAAAACCCCTGAAATCTGATACCTATTTGAGTAGCTACTTTCTTGAGGATATTTTTACTACTTTCTTAAGTAGCTACTTTCTTGAGGAGTAAATCTTTGATTACCAGCTTAATTAATTAAGCGAGATTATTAATTACATTGTTGGGAAACAATATTGAATTGATACAAAAGCAACAAATTTAGATGTCACTAACATAGAAAAAGTGGTTCCAATTATCTAAAGGGTAGAAAAATAATCATTTTTATTAGGGAAACATTACACATTAAATTGAGCATAAACTAGGCACAAAGCTCTTCAATCAGACACTACATTGTTGGTATACACATGGTTTTTTCTTTTCCCCAGTTGTAGTTACCTTAGGATAGTTTTATTTACAGAGTTTTTGGATAGATTAGGGGGAAGGAAAAGAAGGGGTGGGAAGGGAAGAGGAGGGGAGGTAAGAATGAAGAATTTTCCTTCCAAATCTCTCCATTGTTGGAGAGATCAATTTTTTGCAATTGTATCCCATCATTTCTTTCTCATCCAATTCTCTTCCTCCCTTATTTGCTATCCAAATGAGACCTTATCAATCCCTCAATTTCTCTTCCCTTCCTTTCCCTATATTTCCTTCAATCCAAACAAATTGTTAATCTAGTTGAATTTGAAATTTTAAAACATCTCGAGTACAAATAATATCTCTTACCTGAATATACTTTAAAAGTGAACTCCTTTGCAATCCCATTCATCAATGACTATGGCCAAGCAATGACAGACCCGCCAAGTATTTAGCTTTTCTTCACATTCCTTCATCAGCACTCATAGCTTTTAGATAAAACTTGAGTTTTTGAGAAGGTAATCACACTTATCAGAACATATATATTACCCCATAAGCTTTAAATTCAGTTCAGCATATCATATCAAGTGATTTTACAAGGTATTATTTCATTAATTATCAAGACTACCTATGCGTCTATTGCAAGACTATTGTATGTACCACAAGATAAATTGTTGGAGAGAAGCAGTAAATTTAAGTACCTGATATACTACCCAATTCATGAACAATACTTCATATATGTTGTACACATTGGGTTCCATGTAGAAAGACTTTTGCTAAACACTTGAAATCAAGTAGATTCTTTATCCTTTTTTCTCTCTTCTCTCTCCTCTCTCCTCTCTCTTCTAGGGTTTTAATTTTCTTGGTCGTTTAGGCCGGAAATAGTCTAATTTCTTCGTAAATTAGAGTATTTCCTACCCTTTTTCTTTATTTCAATTTAGTTTTTTGTTTTGTTTTGTTCTCTCCATTTGTGAGAGTTTGTCCCAATTTTCTGGGTTTTTCCCAATTTTCTGGGATTTTGATTCTCATCTATGGATGAGAATTTTATTTTTAGGGTTCTTATAATAATTGAGAAGGTGATTTGGATTCCTATGGGTTTGGGATTTGTCATCAACCGATCGATCAAAACAACAGCACAGATTGTGGAGGTCTCAACTTGGAAAGAAGCAAAGACATCGAAAATCATTGCTCGCGTCAAGCTTGAAGCGGTGGAGTATGAGCTATGCCAAATATGCAAATTAGTTATGATTTTGATTGTAAAAGTTATGATATTTTCTCTAAATCTGTGGTTTACAGATCCTTATTATTGTAGATGTCGTATGGCTTTTATTTAATGATATTATCCTTCCCGTTCAAAAAAAAAAGTAGGTTCTTTATAGAAACAGAAAATAATGGCAGCTCATAATGAAAGAAACATAATAAAATAGGAATTTTTTTAAAAAAAAAATACAGAAAAATTAATCTTGCAAGTGAAAGAGAGGCCAAAAAATAGACAAAATCAATCTCATAATACAGATTGTTCAACAAAGAACCATTAACTCACTGATTGGAGAGCTTCAATTCCATATTATCGAGCATTTTAAATCTAGAAGTCATAACAGTAGAGACAAAAAATCTACACCCCTAATCTCGAACCCTCAACTATAACCAAACTACATTGTAATTCCCATCATCAATGTCGATGCCATTCCAAGTCTAAATTAGATGCACAAAACAATATCTTAGTTGATAAAATAAGAATAAGGGATACTACTATAAATTCATTGTTATTCCAAAACTTTACCCAATTTTCCTCAAGACTCAAGCTTCAATCAACAAGTATTGAGTTAAATATTCAAATCAATATAAATTCAACTCCTAAGAAGACAAACCTCCAAAATTAAACCAATGCTGGAAATCAAAAATACAATACCTTTAGTATAGCCGGAGATCTTGTTTCATCTCTAGTCTAACGACTAGTGCATGCATATCAAACCTAAAACGCATGCCAAAATAAAAACCCACATTTAAAATAACACAATTTTACCAAAAAAAAAAAAAAAAAAAAAAAAAAAAAACAAATTTCAGAAACTCTAATAAATGAATAGAAAAAAGTAACAATCCATTTTGCATGCACCCGGTGTACAGTATTTTCACTGTACATCGGACATTGTGCACGTGCCACTCATTTACTAGGTTTTATTTTTTTTTTAAAAAAAAAACAAAATCGCGAAATTTAATACCTCAAAATCAAAAAAACGCAAACAACAATGGAGGAGAGAGAAAGTGAGAAAACGCAGCTCTTGATCATGAACTGAGGAGAGAGAAAGTGAGAAAACGCAAAAATTGTAGAAATCGATCATCAATTGTGAAGAAAAAAGGTGAAAAACGCACAAATTAAAAATTTTGATCATCAATTAAAGTAGAGAAAGTGAGAAAACTTACAAATTGAGGAATTCGATAAACGCAAATATTGGAGAATTCGATCATCAATGGAAAATTCGACTTTTGATACCACAAATTGTAGCAATCTCATCCACGAATTGCTACAAAAACAGAGGCAAATTGAAACTGAATTTGAAATCGATTTAAATCGATCGATTATAGAAGAAGAAGAAGAAGAAACAAAGAGTTTTGGAGATGAATTCGTACCAATACTCAACAATATAAACAATGTAGACGATGCAGAAGAAGCAATTAACAATGCAGAAGAAGCAATTGAGAATGCAGAAGATCGAAGCAATTGAGATTGCAGAAGAAGCAATTGAGACTGCAGAAGAACCAATTGAGACTGCAGAATATCAAGCGGTTCCTGGCAAATCAATTGACTCAAATTCAGAACAAACAACCAAATCAAATGCAACTGAAGGTAATTTCTATAAACATTTCAGATTGTATGCAAAAAGTTACCCTTTTAACAGCACAAAGTTATCCTTTTAACAAAACAAAGTGACCCTTTTAACATCTCAAAGTGACCCTTTTAACATCACAAAGAGACCATTTTAACAGCATAAAGTGACCCTTTTATATTCATAAAGTGATCCTTTTAACAACATAAAGTGACCCTTTTAACAGCATAAAGTGACCTTTTAACAACATAAAGTGACCTTTTAACAACATAAAGTGACCCTTTTATATACATAAAGTGACCCTTTTAACTGAAAAAGTTACCCATGTAATAACATACAGTGACTCTTTTAACAGAATAAAGTCACCCTTTTCATGCATAAAAGTGACCCTATTTTCGAATAAATGTTACCATTTTGTTTTCTCTAAATTGAATTATATGTTGTCTCTGATTATAATCTGATATATTTGTAACACCCTAGAAATTCCTTTATTTTAAAATACCTGTTTTGCCCTGTATAAAACTTTAAATAAGAATATCTAAAAAATTAACGCCACCGTGAAAACGGTTAAGGCAAATATCAAAGATACACAACGGAAGACTAATTTTAAAAACCTTTCCAAAACAATCCAACTTGAAAAGTTAACCAAACGAAAGTAAAGTTAAAACCAAAATGAGCGAAGTAAAATGAAAATCAACCTACAACTTGGAACCATTAAAGGCCCTTATTAAAAACCAACCCAAATCCAAACTTGATATTACCTCCACATAAAAATATCAGCATAATTAATTAAAGCAGAAACACATTGTAACAATTATAAACTAGCATAATTCGCTCTTCACTCGTGCCCCATCATGAATATGCCTCAATACCTGAAAAGTTTGTCTCTACTTGTTTCCACTACTCTCCATTAAAAATGGGTCATCATAGGGCCAAGATAAAGACATGGCCAAATACACAACACACACACACACAATCAGCAAAGCTGAGTACATAAGCGTAAATTAGCCACACTAACATGCTTTTCACCTATCAACACACACTTACCTCATTGCACCTGTTCACAAGCATACACACCAATCAACAAGACACAATGACTAGACACTAATTAATTCATTTTGCATTGATTACGCATCGAACGGGTTTCCACGTATTAACCTCCCCAAATAAATTTGAGGTTAACTGACACGGGAGCTAACCGTGCCGGCAACAAAACCACACAAAGGTGGCGGAATTCCTGCGCATAATAATAAATAATAAAAAAGGAATATACAACGTCATGTACTCCATTGGAAGTTATGGTTAAATATAAAACCCCATAACTCCCTCCATTGTTCATACTCAAGGTATATACGTTCCAAGAGTTTTGGTGCGTAATCTCTTTCACTTTACGTTATTTACCTTTTATTGGACTTGGTGATGACTCTCAAAGAATTATAAAACAATCAACAATAATTATTCAATCGACCAAACATACCAATTTAATTCTTGAATAATTAGTGACTACATATTATTTAATGTTGAACCCTTTTTAATTCTACCTCAGTGTCAAAGACACCTTAAACGCATAATGCGCCAAAAATCCTATCCCTCGGTGTTAAAAACACCTTAAGTGCACAAAGGCACCAACATACAATTTATTCCTTGTGTACATAGACACTTATATAGCTCCTTCCTCATGCTTAAAGCATCAATAAAAATTATTTGAACCATAATAAAATTCCTTTTCAATATTCCAAACATAATTAAACATGTAGTTTAATTAATCATGCCTTCTAACATGCCATAAATAAAAATGTGGTTCAAACACAACATGCCCAAAATATAATTTTCCAATCCATAAACCATCACAAATAATTCATGCTTCACCATTTAATCACAAACATCATAAATTCACAATTCCATACATAAACCTTAGCATGATACTACTTGTAATTAATTGAAATCAAACCTAGCATGATTCTACATCACCAAAATATGCTAAGTACGCGAACGTACCTCGAATAAGCTCTTAAAATAACCGAGTACTTTACAACAATTCTCGAACCAAGTCTCCTACATAAAGGGACAATAATACTATATTAATTACCCTTGTATAAACAATTTCCAGCAACTTAAACTCACTTTAAATAACTTATAATAATCTGAAAATTATTTAAGAACCCCTAATTAAACTCCTTTTTAATGGATAATCACACCCTTTTATTAAAAATCACAATTATATTACTTTAAATAAAATTCCAACATTTTAAACTAATCTAAAATCCTTTAAAACTTCATCAAAATACATCTTTATACTTAAATTATCCATAGAAACATTAAATTATCTCTTACCCCTTTTAAATTCAAAGATAAAATTTAAAGCATAAAAAAAACTTCGTTAAAAATCAAAAACTGCCCGAAAATCATATTTAGAGGCTGAATTTGGCCACGACAGGGTGGTGCTCACTACTAAATGTAATGAGTCTTTCTTAAAACGTTGTTTCCACTCGAAAACACTACTTTTGTTTTATCAAAATCGGAGGAGTTTAGAACCTGATCGGGATTAAAACGAGATTAATATTAACGAACGGAAATCTAATTATTAAAACATGAATTTGCGTGTTAAAAAAAATCTGGAATTAAGTAAAATAATAAGTAGTTGCAATCACCAAAATTTCAAAACATCATTACTATAAAAGCCCTAAATCAATTATTCATAAAAACCCTAAAAATCAACACTTTAATAATTAAAACCCTAACTTTTAATACTTCATAAAATCTTAAATTTATACTCTTTAATCATCAAAAACACAATTTTAAAACATACTAATCATAATTTAACCATCAAGAATCAATACCCAAAAATATATTATAGGAATAATTATTAAAACAAAATAAAAGAGGAGAGAGAAGGGAAGAACCACCGTGGGTGGTGGCCGGCCAGCTGGGCGGTTGCTGGCCGGCGGCGGCGTGGCAGGTGGTGGCAGCCGGCGGTGGGGTTGGCGGGCAATAGTGGCAGCCGGTGTTGAAATTTGGGTGGGTTTATGTCACCCAAAACCCACGTAAATGCAAGAATAAAAAGAAAGAATAAGAAAAGGAAAAAGGAAAAGAAGAAAGAAAGAATAAAAATAAAAAGAAAATAGCTTACCTTGACCATTTGACCTTTTGGGTGGTAAAATTTTGGGGATAAGTAGAGTATTTATATTGTAGAGTAGGTTAGGGTAGGTTTGGGCTTCATAAAAATAATGGACTTAAATGATGAAGTAGGTGGCCCAAAAGTAAAAATAAGATGATTGGGTTCAATAAAGATGGGATACGTTTGGATTGAATGCTTATTGACCCAAATATAAATACGTGCTTTATTTATAATTCAAAAATTAAAATAGTTTGACCCAAAATATATTTTATAATTAAATAAATAATTTATAAAATACATTAAAAATACGGAGTATTACAATATTTTTATTAAATAACAGATACAAATCCAATTCATGCTTCTGGTTTAGATCTTAGAGGTTCATTTTTTGGTGTGGTAAGAGAAACTTTTAAAGAAATTTTGGAATTGTATGAAAAACATGCTGCTATACTGGGGTTTTCAATACGAAAACATACAACTAGATACCAGACGCACACAAAAATAGTAACTGAGAAAAATTATGCGTGTTCTGCTGAAGGAAAGAGAAATTCAGGTTTCAAGAAAACAAAGTTAGTTGAAATGGTTAATGAAGAGGATGTGAAAGTGAAAACAAGAAAGCCAAGACAAGTAGCCATTACAAGATTAAATTGCAAGGCATGCATAAGAGCAAAAGTGAATAAAGAAGGAAAGTTTGAGGTAGTGGCTCATGTTATTCAGCATAACCATGAGCTAACAAGGTCACAGTGGCATTATTTGCATCGTTCTGAAAGAAAAATGACAGAAGAAAAAGCTGAAGCAATAAAAACAAAGAAATCTTCAGGTCTAACTACAATGGACACTTACAATTACATGGCTACAGAGGCTGGAGGAGAACAGAATATAGGTCATAGTGTTGTAGATCATCTGAATTTTTGCTCAAGGATAAGAATGAAACAATTTGAGGCTGGAGATTGTAGACACTCATTTGTTTCTCTCCAAAACCAAACCTAGTGATGAGTACCTTTCACATCGAATCATAATCGAATGAAGTGAAAGTGTGGAAAGTCTAGCGTTACGGATAGTTTTAATTTCTTTTATTTTCTTTCTGTTTTTGAAAACTTATTTTAAGAAAACAGTCAATCCAATTTGGTTAGTCCATGATATGGGTCCAATAGTAGTGTATTTGGATGGGGCTTGCAAAGACCTTTCCAACGATATATTATAAGCCCAATTCCGATGAATATTGAGGAAGTTATGGCCAATTTACCAAACTGGGTCCGGTTTGAGCCTTATATGCTGCCCAATGATCTAGAGGAGGGCCTATTATTAATTATCATTACTAAAGCTATTAGGATTGATTATAGTCTTTTAGAATACTCTAGAAGGTTATTTTAAATCCTAATGGAGTTAGGATTGATAATTATGTTTTAAAGAGTTTGAAATTGAATAAAACTACTCCTTTTAATAATCCTTGTTTTGTACGATGTGAAATATATTCAGATTTTATTTTCGTGCCTCATTATATTTATCCAAATTTTATATGTTTGGATAGATCTTGAATTATCTTTCCAATGATATATTATAGTATTAAATCCGAGTTATAACAAAAAAGATATGAATGAGACATGAAACTTTATCCAAAACTGACACCCTTCCACTATTTTGGATATATATTTTTATCTACAAAATATTTTAACCTGATTCTAATTGGGTTAGAAATTAGACTTTAAGAGCTTTACAACGACATATTATATGCCTTATTTGGACTTCCGGATCAAAAGATATAATAAAAACAAAAACGCATTACAAACAGGCTTGGCGCCTGACTCCAGGCATTGGCGCCTGGAACCAGGCCTGGCGCCTGGAGCCAGCCATTGGCGCCTGGTGCTAGCCATTGGCGCCAAGCGCCTGGTTCTTGGCGCTAACCTCGTTTTGCGTGCGCCAGACTCTGTTTTGTTAATTTTTTCTTTTTGGCTGATTTTCTCTATAAATAACGTGTTAAAACTCCGTTTTCGATAACCAGATTTCATCAATTCTTATTTCAATTCACCAATTCTCTCTAATTCTCTTCCATTCATCTTTCTTTCTTTCTTTCTTTCTCTAAACTTTGTTTCCTCAAATACAAAATTCCGCATTCGCAAGATCTAAAAACACCTAGCCATATTCGAAGTTGCCTTCGCCCTAGACGTGAAAGGTTTTAATTTCTGAGGGTTTGGTCCCAAATCTCTATTTCAATTATTTAATTTAATTGTTGTTTATTATTTTCCCTGAAGTTACTAACGTGTGTATTTTGTTATTAGAAAGAGGTACGAAGCATCAAAGTAAGTACTTTAATGGTTTTTATTGATGTTATGACGCAGAAATCATGTTTATATTGTTATTATGATATTCCTAGTATCATGTCTAGGGTAACTTTAATATTAAATATGATTGTTACGATGCTTCCTATGTTTTTCCTAATATTTATGATTGTTAGTATCATGTTAGGGTTAAAAATATGATTTTTATTGCTTAGTGACATGCTAGGGTTTGTTATTAATCTTGTTAGTATCATGCCTAGGATCTTGCTATGTTTTAACATGATTATGATTATTATTAATTATGATTGATATTATTATTATTCATGTTTATTCTAATGACTGATTATTCATTATGTTGCTTGCTTATTTATTTTCTTGATCACACCTTTTATGCATGTTTTAAAGGGAATTTGTACTTATAATCACGCTTAATAATATAATTAATAATCTTGTTAGGGTTAATGTGATTATAATTCAAATAATTGTCAATAATAGTTTATTTGTGCATTAAATTGAACCAACATAGATTAAACAGGTTTAGGGTTAAACCTAATGATTGCATGTTTGTCAGAAAGTGCACATGAATACGAGCAGAATAAAGTAGAGGCCTATTATTAGGGCAGGTTCAATCTCTTTTAGGTTGGATTTGTACCTTCATCACCAAACCCTTATTTGGTTCTAGACCTTATGGAGTTGACGATCTCTTGGATAGTTAAGGGGTGTAACCTTCATCCTATGAACGGTTTACAAGTTCCTAAAACTTGTTGGCGACTCTTTTGCTCTATCTTCTTCCCTTTTGCACGCCACCGTACTTTAGTGTATGATCACAGTGGGGTTCAAGCTAGTGGGATTAACGCTTGAAATTATTCCCTGCAGTTTTTGGCGACTCCACTGGGGAGGATTTCTATTTTAATTCCTGAATTTGTTTCGGCAATGATTTAGAATGAGTGGATGAGACTCGAAAAGTTCTAAGTATTTCATGTGCGTAATTTTGATTAACATTATTGTCATATGCATAAAAAAGATCTCATTGGAAAGACCATCCGTAATGAGTTAAAAACATAGGATTTTACACGTAAGAAATTTGAGGAATGTCTTTCACAACTAGGACTGTAATAACACCGCGCGAAACTGGAAAATTTTATCGAGCACGGAAAGCTGCTGAGGCATGTGGGAAGTAGCGCCAGGGGCCAGAGCTTGGTGCCAGTATTTTAGTTGTAGCGCCAGATGCCAGTATTGGCGCCAGGCGCTACAGTCAAAAGCTGGCGCCAATCTCTGATTGCTGGCGCCAATTTCCCCCTATACCGAGCCAGAAATATGCGTTCTAATTTCGACCAGTTTTTTCGTATTGTTTGCTCGATCCTACTTCCTGATTGAATTTTTTCTCACTTTTCTGAAACCCATATGTGTTCTACATATGGACATAACCCTCTGGGAATTCATGCTCCATCTACCCGATTGAACGCTCCGTGCAACAAAGGGTACATCCGAGATGTTGAATTCACCAAACCATGGAAGTGAGTTTTTTCTAAAACCTGCGGTGTCCCATCCAATCGCGCCAACCCTTCACGGTTAGGCTTTCGGGCGGTGCATCCGGACAATTAACCATGGACCCTCTATTGACTGAACCATATGCCGAACTTTAGAGAACTAGAGCTATGGTTAGGTTGCAAACTCATTGCATCATATTGTGCCTACTTGACTAATTGTGTATTATTAGTTGTGCATACTTTATGTGATTTTTCTTAACCATTTGTTTGACTTGTGTTAAGACTAAATAAACTGGTTAATTACTAAAAGACTTTGTTTAATTAATTAATTAATTAATTTGAGCTAATAAATAAACTTAAAATCGAGTCATAGTTCCTTTAAGTCAACCCGGATTTTTATTCCCGTATACTGCACAAATGTCAAATATTTTTGGTCATAGATGGAGTTCTAGAAAGAACTACGAGTCGTACAACCTATGGATCTGTAGCCCCGAGTTGTATCTTTAATTTGGAGTTGGTTTCATCTGAATCAGAGTCACAGAAAAAAAGTTATGACTAAAATACCACAGTCTGTCAAGTTTAATGCATATACGTGAAGTCTTGACTTAGTCTTTGCTTGAGTCTAGTCACATAGTCTAGCCACATGGTCATGACACGAGTCTTAACATGCCACATACACTCACTAGTTTTAGCACACACTTTGAGTGCACATCACCATGACCATGTCTTAGGTTCATGCATGAGTCGGTCTTTTCCGTCATTTGAGTTGGGGTACATTCTATTCCTAATTCTTCATATCCCTCCATCTAAATCTTTCTTCACATTCTTCCATCTTTCTTCACCTCCTCCATCCATTGCATGTTGAATAAAGCTTGAGTCAAATAATTAACAATAAATATCCCCACTTTCTTTTTCCACAGTACTTGGTCGAGGAGAGAAGGGCGATTAATCAAGGACAACCTCTTTATTCAAGTCTCACTTTTTGCAAAACCAATTCGTTAAAAGAAGAAGGCTAAAAAGATAATGGCAACTCAAGAAGAATTCAATGATCTTAAGAACCAACTGGCTACTGTGACTGAGACACTAAAGCTTCTCGCACTCAAGATCGATGATCTCGTGAAGCAACAACAAATGAACCTCATGCAAGAAAGTTTGAGCACGCTATCTAGTGACTATAAATTTCAGGGCATGAGTTCACAAGGGGTCTCGCTGGACAAGGAACTTCTTCCTCATAAGTTCAACGCTACTAACATCCCTAAATTCAAGGCAACAGATAACCCTTACTTTCATTTAAGAGCTTTCGAAACTATAATGAACATTAAGGGTATCGATAAGAAGGTTTTCCCATCTCTATTCCCACTATCTCTTGAAACCGTTTGCCAACAATGGTACTTCTCCCTTGACAAGGAGAAAATCTCTACTTGGGAATCGATAGTGAACGCTTTCATTGATAGATACAAGTGCAATATCCAAGTTGAAACCGATCATAGACAAATTGAGATGCTAAGACAAAAAGAGAATGAAGGTTGTACTTCTTTCTTTAATAAATGGAGGGAAACTTCCGCTAAGATGATTAAAGTCCCCACCGAATAGGAATCTGTGAGGATGTTTATCAAGAATCTCCAAGAAAAGTATTCAAAGCACCTAAAATATCAACACAATTTGAATACTTTCAAGGCCGTTTATGACATCGGAATTGAAATCGAAGATGATCTCGCAAAGCAAAAAGCTACTAACAACAGTAACCACGGTGGCTGGAAAGGAAAGAAGAGCGACAATTCTTCTTCTTCCGAAAACGCCCACTCTAGTAACAATGTTACTACCTTTGATCTCAGTGAAGTTTTAGCCATGAATAACCAAGGATCTAAGAAGCAACTAAGGAAAGACTTCACCCCCATTGGGATGAGCTACGATACCACCTTCGATCGACTCCATGCCAAAGGACTCATTACTCCCATTGGACCTATTCAAGATCCCGCACCTGAAAAGAGATTGCCTAGTTGGAATCCAGACGAACACTGCAAGTACCATCAAGGTAGGGGTCATACTACTAAGAGCTGTTGGAATCTAAAGGAGGCTATCCAACATTTGATTGACAATAACAAGCTTCCCATGCCTCTCGTTAACAAGCAGAGCGAGTGATGATAAAAGAAACAACACAAGACAAGAGGCGAGCTTCAACGACAAGATTTCGTGACCTCTTTTTTCTATTTCTTCTTTG